CTTTGGCTTTTGTTTTTCCTCAGGCAGGGTCTCACAATGCAGTAGTGCAAGTTGGCCTTGAACCTACAAACCTGCTTCAGCCTAAATTTGCACCACCACCAGCCTGGCAAAAAATACTATCTATGAAGACAGTGAATCTGATCTGTACTTGTGTGTATAGGGCAAAGGGGAGGCCTAAAATTGTATGAATACCACTGCTTTGGCTTTTGTTTTTCCTCAGGCAGGGTCTCACAATGCAGTAGCGCAAGCTGGCCTTGAACCTACAAACCTGCTTCAGCGTAAATTTGCACCACCACCAGCCTGGCAAAAAATACTGTCTATGAAGACAGTGAATCTGATCTGTACTTGTGTGTATAGGGCAAAGGGGAGGCCTAAAATCGAAGGTCAGACAGACAATGAAAAACACGTCTGGCAAACCAACCTCTGCCCTGAACACAAGGAGTGGCTTAAGGAATCTGAAGCGAGTGGTGCAGTGGTGCAATGTACATATATTTAAATTTTTATTTCAAATTAATGTAACATTAACAGAAAGTTACAAAGTAGCACACAGAGCTCTCTATGTCCTTTACCTTGCGTCCCTTAATGTTTTTATTTTTTTCCCTCTTAAATAGTTCTTTATTGGCAGTGGGCTGGAAGGGATGACAGAGTTAGCATTCAAAGACAACACCACACACCAAAGTCACGAGGGTGGCAAGAGTGATGGGAAAGACCCTGAAGGACCCCCCCTCTTCAAGAGCAAGGGTAGGCAGGGAGCCTGGAGTGTTGACGGCACAGCCTTATGTTGCCTTAGCTTAGAAGGCATGGTTAGAGATGAAGAGGGACTCACTGGCTGCAGCCCATCCTGACCACTTGGGGTGTACTTTCCTTGACAAGTGACGCTGTTGGCCAGGGCACGTTTGATGTACTCCTCTTGGGCAGCCTTCAGGTTCTCCTTCTTCCCACCCCAGACCTTCAGGGCAGAGGCCTGCAGAGCTCGGCCATAAGAGAAAGTCAAGGCCCATGGCTTCAGCAGGGGACACTTGTTGATGGTGCTGAGGTTGATGGATGCCTCTTCCTCACTCTGCCCTCCAGACACAAAAGTGACCCCAGGGACAGCAGGGTGCACTGTGTGATGCAGTGCTGTGACAGTTGCCATGGCAATCTCCTCATTGGAAAACTTCTGGGTGCAAGCATGGCCTGAGGTAACCATGTTGGGCTTCAGCAAGGTGCCTTCCAAGTAGATATGGTGGTCACTCAGAGCCTTGTAGACAGCAGCCAATACCTTCTCAGTTACATACTGACAGCACTTCAAGTCGTGGTCCCCATCAGGGAGGACTTCTGGCTCCAATGGGCACAATACCATTCTGCTGGCAGATGCTGGCATAACAGGTCAGAATGTTGGCATTTTCCACAATAGCAATGGCTGAGGGAGTGTGCTCTCCAATCTTCAGCACACAATGCCACGTGGCAAAATCAGCTCCATCCTTCTTGTACTGGGCACAGCATTCAGACAGCCCATCCAGCCCTTGAGTGGTGGTCTCGCCAGTGGTTCCTGCCAGGGGCACCACACCCTTGTCTACCTAGATGCCCACAACACCACCCTTGGATTTGATGACTTGGGGGAAGGGACGTCCATCATCAGCCTTCTGGTACAGTGTCTCATGGAAGAGGATCATCCCCCCAATACAGGGATTCACACAGTCATCAGCAGTCAGCAGCAATTGGCGGTAGAAGCGCCACTTCTCCTTTGTGTTCTCAGTGCCAATGGACTGCAGCCGCTTGGCAATGCTTCCAGTGGACTCATCTGCAGCCAAGATGCCCTTGCTCGGAGCCACGATACAGTGAGTGATGTCAGACAGCTCCTTCTTCTGCTCTGGGGTCAGTGCTGGGTAAGGGTAGGGCATGATGCCAGTGGCAGCAAGTTCCTGGCAGAGGAGGGGGTTGGGTCTGCGGGGTGCAGCAGGGAGACATGGGGACCGAGGAGCGAACACAGCAGTGCTCAGTAGAACTCGCTTCTGCGGCACGTTCCAAGAGAACGCAGCCTATCGCATCCCTTAATGTTAACAACACCATATATGTATGTAACTGGAGAATCTTAATAGTGCCAACATAATACTATGCACCAACGGATAGGCCTTGATTTTCACCAGCAGAGTGCCACCAGCACCCTTTTCCTGGGTCAAGGACCCCACGCTGAGCTTCACCCTAAACTCCTCCAATCTCCATGTGTGCCAGGCCTTTGCCTCACATTCCATGAAACTTCTGAAGGAATGCTGGTTAGTGATTCTGGAGAAGAGCCTTCAATCTAAAATTGAAGCCAGACATGGTGCTACATGCCTTTAGTCTCAGCACTTGGGAGGCAGAGGCAGGTGGATGCCTGAGTTTGATGCCAGCCTAGTCTATATAGTGAGTTCTAGGCCCGCCAGAACTACGTAGTGAGACCCTGCCTCAAAAGAAAAAAGGAAAAAAAAAAAAAGATTGAAGTTATGAATGAATTTCTGGGAAAACAAAGGACCGAGGCAGTGCCTTCTTCAGTGCATGTCATCAACAGTTTATTACCAGTGGTAGGTCTTGTTACTGGAGCTGGCAAACTCATTGGTAAAGGGGTGTCAGGTAGGTTTTTCTACATACAGCTTTAAGTTTTCCTTTTGTGTTTGATTAAGGTGCATAAGGAAAGATACTGTGATACTATACAATACTCTTTCTCGTTTTCAATCATTTTAGCATCCACTGGTGGCATATGCCTAAAATTACGCTTCGGTGGCTACTACAAATATAAAATTATTTTAAAATACAAAGTTTACAAATATGCACAAGCAGCCTACAGTGTCTAGGCTTCACAGATAGTTTTATCAAGGGTGGTACAAACCTTACAGAAAGGCCACTCTTGCTACAACTGTTTTCAATTATTTACTTAATTTAGGAAGCCCTTGTGGATATAGATCAGAATCCATTATCATCATCATTTATTTTATTGATAAAATGTCCTCAATGTCAATTCCTGTATGCTTCTGACTTTATTTGTAGTTTCAGGTACCAAAAAATATACTTGGCTCATGGTCAAGCAGGACCTTGGTTTATCTTCACATAGACAGAACTGGTAAAAGAAAGGAGTCAGGGGCTCCTCCCAAGCCCATGTGACCCCTGAGGAACAGATCCTCAAATGGCCTTAAGAGTAAAAATAAATTGGTTTATCTGGGCCAATTGTAGGGTCTTAAACACCCAAAAAGAAAGCATAACCAAAGATTAAAGGGGCCAATATAATTTTTTAAGAGTCCA